ATGCAAATAAAACCCTTGTTCCATTCTTCTGTTTTCAAGTTTACTGCTCAGAAAAGAACTGCACAGTTCAGAAAAATGAGCGAACTCTTATTTTTGATGAGCTTTCTCCCTATTTCACATGCAGCTGTTAAGAAAATGCTGTAAAGCAAAGCAGTGCCGTTCATTGTGTCTTCCATAAGAACCACCAATTTGTTTTGCAAGATCCTGTTTCATTGCTGTCTCCAGAGATGCTAAAGGCAGCACTTTAATGTAAAATGTAGAGAATGCAGCTAGTCTACACATCCTTTTGAAATAAAAAAAGATTTACATTTTGTTACGCAGTCACTAAAGAAGTGGTAAAGAAAAAAAACTGCAATTACCGGAAGAAGAAGAGACACAACACAAATACAAATTTGAATATCCCAACATATTCCTGATATGATCACCTTGAAAAATTAAATGCAAGCTAATTTTTTTTTTAAAAAAGGCATTGACAGTTCTTCTGTTGTTTTCTCTTTTGTGGTAAGAAATAGACAATGGAAACAGAATGTGTAGGTTATAAATTGAAGATTTGGGGGGTCTCGTTTAAAATTCTCCAAAGGACAAAAGCAATTGTAACATAAAATCCTTGCTCAGACATTATCTTTTGAGTTTCTGTTGGTTGACATATGACACAAGGCAACTAAGTGCATTAGCCATGAAATCAGTAATTGTTTTTGCATCAAAGATGTTTTCTTTTAGGAGCAGAAACAAATTATATCTGAGTTCATTTCTGGGATTATTTGATCCAAACAGAGAAGAGTCTTCCCATTACTTCCCCACACACGGCTGCTCTCGTGAAGCTACTGTTGAGAATATCAGTTGAAGAACACAACTTGCTCTAAAACTGTTAAGTTTCACCAAATTTCTCCCTGAAGTTGACTTACTTGTAAGTTCGTGGTCAACCATCATATACTATAAAGCTCACAATATATAGAGAATTATGATTATGAAACTATATGTTGTTTGGGCAGCAATTACTCAGCATAGAGTCACAGCAGGTGGCAGTATCTAGCTAGCCCTGGTGATTTGGTGAAAGCTAAACAGCATTAGATCTGATTAAAATTTGGACAGATAAAAGCCATAGCTGTAAAGCCCACTAGGAAGTCAATATATAATTCTGAAGACACATTCTGATTTCCAAGGTTTTCCCTCTGGTCCAGCCAATAGTTTATAATTTGGCACTTCTTGAGAAAATCAACAAGGTATTGTTTTTTCTTCTTCTGTAAACTGCATGTGGCTATAATTTCTTGCACCACTCTACAATTGATTTCCTTCCTTCTTTCCTTCTCCACCCATAGTGCTTTCCATGGTTAAGCATTCATGGTTCAGCTGACAATCAATTTCAAAGTTGAGCTGACCTTAGCCAACAGTCTGTCTGTCCTCCATCCATCTTGGGAAAAAATGCTTTTGAAAAGTAACATTCAGGTGTGGGTTACTTTTTTTTTCCATCCAGTTTTACGCCAAAACTGTTGCTGTTATCATTAAACTGCAACTAAATTAGGGGAAAATACGTCCAGGAATGTGTTCTTTAAAAAAAACTGCAAACGAACCTGCTTTTTTTATCCCCTGATGTTGTCTAACTCTCTGGGCCCTAAGAACATTACATTTTAAATCATTCTCCAAAGGGGCAGTGGTCAGCCTTTTTCCAACTTTAGATTAAAACGATTTTTTGAGGGGGGGGGTTGGTCTTTTGTTTTGCTTCACAGTTAAAGATTCTGATGAACAGTTTCACAGCCAAACAAAAAGATCCTATTCTTGCCCAGGGTGTACTGAAGTCAGCTTTTCCCAGATGCAGTTGGAGTCTGGAAGCCTGGTCAAAGCAATCATTGTATTCTCAATACAAGCATTTGTGGGCGATTGGCACCAGCACTGTCACCAATAACCCGTCCTTGCACAGGAGCCAAAACCAAATGGGATGAAGCTGAATTCACTGTACTGTACTGAGGCTCATCTGGATGGCCAGCAACAGGCCTCTCCAACTTGCTGTTTGAGCTGGCCTTAGCCAACAGTTTATCTATACATCATTTATATTTTCTTTTTTTCTTTCTTTCTTTTTCTTTCTTTCTTTCTTTCTTTCTTTCTTTTTCTTTATCTATCTATCTATCTATCTATCTATCTATCTATCTATCTATCTATCTATCTATCTATCTATCTATCTATCTATCATCCCATTGCCAGGAGTTCGATCCTGACCACCTCAAGATTGACTCAGCTTTCCATCCTTCCGAGGCCGGTAAAATGAGGACCCAGATTGTTGGGGCAAATAGGCTGACACTGTAAACCATTTAAGAGAGGGCTGTAAAATGTTGTGAACCAGTATATAAGTCTAAGTGCTACTGCTATTATCTATCTATCTATCTATCTATCTATCTATCTATCTATCTATCTATCTATCTATCTATCTATCTATCTATCTATCTATCTATCCAATCTTTCTATCCAATCTTTCTATCCAATCTTTCTATCTTTCTATCTATCTATCTATCATTTATCTATCTATATTATCTTAGCTTAAAACCGTGGTGGCGAACCTATGGCACGTGTGCCACAGGTGGCCTGCAGAGCCCTCTCTGTGGGCACACGCGCCGTCGCCCCAGTCCTAGGCCTTCAGCTGGGTTTTATAAAACCTTTTCGCTTAAAAAAAAGTTCAATCAATCAATTTCACAAAATTGGGATTAACTTTTTAGTCCCACCCAGTCTGCCGTTACCACCGCACCCATGCCCACCCAATGAGACACGCCCACTCAATTGGCAACACCCACTCAATGGGCCATGTCTACCCGGCACCTGACGATACATAAGTGGGTTTTGGGTTGCAGTTTGGGCATTTGGTCTCTAAAAGGTTCGCCATCACTGGCCTAAAGGTAAACGTTTCTCCTGTCCAGTTGTGTCGGAGTCTGGAGTGGTGTTCATCTATTTCTTAGCCCCGAAAGGAGCCAGCATTGTCCAAGGACACTTCCATGATCATGTAGCCAGCATAATTGTACGCTGAGGTGTGTGTGGAATGCTGTTACTTACTTTCCCACCAAAGTGGTACCTATTTAAACACTCGCATCTGCATGCTTTTGAACAAGGTGGGTAGGAGCAGGGGCAAGTAATGGGAGCTTACCCTGTTGCGTGGTGTTCAGGTATCAAATCTGGACTATTAGCTTTCAGTTGACAAAATGGCTCAGTATCTTTAACCACTGAGCCATCGTCCCCCCCCTCTCTACCCACCCACCTACATAAAATCTGCACAAAAGAGGCAAGGAGTTAAAAATTCAACCTGAAAAGTGAATTAAAAGGCTGGGGGCTGCCTTCAGGATGCTAACCACCCCCAAGGGGGGTTCTTCTGAGCTCCCCACGAAGCTGCAGCAGAGCCGCATTTGCGGAAGGCCGGGAGAGCGCCAGATTGGCTCAGCCAGGCAGATCCTACGGGAGACACTCAGCATTAGCATTACTAACGCCACTAATGATCATTGATCCCTTTCCTCCCCCCCCCCAGCAGCTAAAAGGTGAAACACAAGATCCTTTCGCCTTCATCAGCATACCTAACTGCATGCACACACACCACAGACCTGGCTTGAATATAGCAGAGCCTATTTTAGCCGGGCAGGTTTTGCAACCCGACCGGGCGCGCAGCTGGAACCCAGGCCGACTTAAGGACTCCCCCGAAGCCCCCCCCCATTGCATGCAAAGTGGCCATCTTTTCCCTTCCCTCGGCGTTGCTGTGGCCTTCCGATTTCGCCTTGCTGGAGAAGACTCCTGCGAGTCCCCTGGACTGCAAGGCGTTCAAACCGGTCAGTCCTAGAGGAGATCAACCCCGACTGCTCTTTAGAAGGCCAGATCCTGAAGTTGAAACTCAAGGACTTTGGCCACCTAATGAGAAGGAAGGACTCACTGGAGAAGAGCCTGATGCTGGGAAAGATGGAGGGCAAGAGAAGAAGGGGACGACAGAGAATGAGGGGGCTGGATGGAGTCACTGAAGCACTACTGAGCTTCAATGGACTCCAGAAGATGGTAGAGGACAGGAAGGCCTGGAGGAACGTTGTCCATGGGGTCGCGGTGGGTCGGACACCACTTCGCAACTAACAACAACAACGTGCAATCTATTGCACTTCCCCCCCCCCCTCTTCCAAAGGGGGCTCTTCGGATTCCCTGCACAGAAACGGCTCCACCAACAAAGGACGGCTGGCCTTCCTCTCCTCCAACCGGGCGTGCAAAGGCAGCCGCCCAGAAGGGCCAGCCCGTCCCTACCCAACCCACCCCCGTCCCCGCGGCAGGGGCGATCCCAGCCAGGCGCCCCCCGAACACCCCCGGGGCTGGATGCCCAGATCCCAGGAGCCGGAGACCCGCCCGGCTCGGAGAAGCTTTGCAGCAGCCCGCGGCCCAGCTGCGCGCCGTCTCGCCTCCTCCGAGGCCGCGGGGACCCCCCAACCCGTCCCGGGTGGCGGCGCGGCGACCGCAAAGCGGCCCGAAGCGAAGCGCCAGCAGTCTTGCAAGCCAGCGCCTGGCTCCGCCCCCTGGGGGCGCGCGCGGGGCGTGGCCGAGGCGGGAGGGGCGTGGCCGGCGGCGGCGAGGCGTCGCGGCCCGCCGGTCACGTGACGCGCCGCCATTTTGTCTGGAGCGGGCGCGGGCCTCTGAGGTGAGGAGGCAGCGGGGGCGGCGGCGCCGACAGGCCGGACGGGGCGGAGGTCTGGCCGGCCGGAGAGCCGCGTCGTCGTCGCCGTCGCCCGCGAGAGCGAGAGCGAGAGAGCGAGAAGAAGGCGAGAGGCCGGAGGGGAATCGCGCACCGGGGCGTCCCTGTCGGCTCAGCCCGGGCTGCACGGCGGCTGGGCCGGGCTTGGTGGCGCTCCGCCCCGCGGCCTGCCTGCCTGCCTGCCGCCGCTCCTCCTCCTCCTCCTCCTGCCCTGCGCCTCTGCCGAGGGCCGTCGGGGAAGTCCTCCGCTGCTGAGGGGCCGCCGGAGCCGAGCTGGGCAGGGAGCGCCGCCGCCGCCGTCATGTCGGGCCAGTCGATCACCGACCGGATCACGGCGGCGCAGCACAGCGTCACCGGCTCGGCCATCGCCAAGGCCGTCTGCAAGGCCACCACCCACGAAGTCATGGGCCCCAAGAAGAAGCACCTCGACTGTGAGTGCGGGGAGGGGAGGGGGGGCGCCCAACACGCGTGTGCATTCCCACGTTCTTCCCGCTTCCTCTTTCTCTCTGCCCGCGTCGGGACCCCAGGGGTGGGTTTTCCACAGTTCACTCTCCGATTTTCCCCAGGATTGGGTGGGAACCCCCGCCCGGAGGGGCGCTTCCTCCTGACCGGACTAACCCAGGGCTTAGCCAGGCCCAGCGGCCGGGTTCGGGCCTCTTGGGCCCGTGTCCACAACAGTGGGGCCTGGGGGCTTGGACTGGGGGGGCTCTGGAAAAGCTGTGGTTGGGCAGAGCCCCACCCCCTGGATGGGCCCAGTGGGTTAAAGGCATTAATGGCTGGGCTGCACAGACTGACAGAACCGCTTAGATGGATTCCCCCGAAGCCCCCCACTGATATTGCCCCCCAATATTATTGCCTGTTCACCGCCCTGAGTCCCGTAAGGGAGATAGGGCGGTATATAAATTTAAATAATAAATAAATAAATAAATTTGGAGGGGGGGGAGAATCAAACGCACTTGGCCAATTTTGCAGGAAGGATTCAGATTTAGTGCGTAACAAACAGAGAGAGGATTTCGTTTTCCTCTTTTTACTCCCCCCCTGGAAGCGTAAAATCCCTTCGCCCTTGTGTCAGATGGTGATGGTTCCCCCTGATGTCATGACCTGCCACTCTTTGTAAGTGGGCATCTGTAACCTCTCTGTCCTGGGTTGTTGGCATCCTAGGTTGTGCTGGGGGGGGGGGTGTTTGGCAACCCCTGTCTGGATTGTTGGCATCCCTTCCTTGGGCTGCATTGTCAGTTGAGGGATACAATCTCTATTGCAGCAGTTGTCAAAAAAAGTATCTGGGTACTGAGCTACGCACAATAGGCCATCTTTTCAGATCCATCCTCCAAATCACAATCTCTTGTCAGATTTAACATGTCTACCTACCTACCTGCCTTGGGAAGTAGTGTATGTGTTTGGCAAGCAGAAGTTTTCATTTTAATTGTCAGCTAAAGAAAAGAGTGGAGGGAAGCATCAGGTGATAAGAAAGACGCCTGGAGTCCTGAAAAGCTGATACCAGTTATTGAGGATCAGATAGTGCTCTGGGTTAAATGGAAAAATCAATAGCATTGGGTTGATCAGATGGCTTCCAGTCCTTATCTTTCTTGGATCAGCAGGTGCAAAGGTGACCAGCAAGACTGCTTCACAGCTGGGGACAACAAAGGAGGTGCAGTTTGCCAGACATGGTCCATTAGATTTGCTGAAGCCACTTTTGGTATAAAACTGTGAGAAAGCATGATTAAACGAACGAGTTGTTGCCACTTTAAATGAGTCCTGACCAGCCTTTATAGAAGGTTAAAGAGAAGATATGAATCAAGTTCAATGTTTCTGTCTTACAGGATCGGTAATATTCCGCTGCCCTTTAGAAGAACAACTACCTATGTTAGGTTAATGGGAACGGAGAATTGCTGTTTTGGCTTTGTTTAAAAAAGACAACACCAAAATATATAAGACAGAGCAAGAGTTTTATTTCCTGAGCTTGTTTGTTTCCTCCCGTCTCTTTGTGGTACAAATAAACATGCCTCTTCCAAGTAACTCAGAGTTAAAATAAGTCTTCTGTGAGAGATCAAGTAAGCACTGTCAAGTGACTCTTGTCCTAATACATCTGCCTCCAAATAAAGGACATTCTTGACCTAATGAACTGAGGTCTAAAGCTTTCTATTAACAGGTCAACCAGATAAGATAAGGTAGTGTGGTTCTGTGCTCTCAGAGCTCAACAATATAAATAATTTCAGTTGTTCTGCCTTGCTTTTTATATAGCAGTTAAAATGGCCTTCTTGGAAGAAGAGTTTTTATTTTGTGTTAGAAGATTGCTGGAAAAAGAGAAGTTTCTTGGAATCAATATGGAATTACTAAAGCCATTATTATAGATGCACAGTCAGCCAGATGTTTTTGTCCACCTGTTGAGTTTTTCCCCAGGACAGTGTGATAGATGACAGACATTGTTGTTTAATAATCTTAAAGCTTTCAGCACAGGATGTAAGCTGTTCCAAATAAATCTTCCATTGGCAATTCTGATGGTGATTTTGTGAATGCTGATGGTATTCAAGTGGTGTTTCAGATGTTTTGGGATTGCACCCAAGTCACCTATTGGTACTGTTTTTGCTTTACCATAGTCTTCTACTTCGGTTTGCAATTCTTTTTGTATTTTGGGATTTTTCTCCAGTTTTTTTTTCTTCTGCTGTTTTCAGGAACCGCCACATCCACTATCCAGACTTTTTTTTTTGTCTTAGCAGTTGTTAAGTCTCTTATGTGGCATATGCTTATCTGTTTGATTTCTAAAGTCCCAGTGCCCTTTGGCTTTTTCATTTTCTATTACTTTTTCTACTTTGTGTTCTCACCAGTTCTTGCAGGCAAGTAGTATTTCTGGCAGATATTCCAATGCATCTTTGTTGCTACCTTTCTTATTCGGTTCTTTGTAACAAATCTGAGTGATGATCTTGCATTATTTTATTATAGTTGGTTGCAGTCAGATTCATATTTATACTGGATTTGGCATTTTTATCCACTTATCACTATTATTATTTTACAAAAGCTTGATTCTCATTGCATTCAGGCAGTTATCTTGACAGCATTAAGAAAGTGGCTTAACCTTGCTTTAATCCAGAATGTTTTTGCTTATTTCCTAAGGTAGCCAACAGCCTGGGATTCCCTAGTGGCCCCATTCAGATGCTAACTGGGGCCAACCCTGCTTAGCTTCTAGGATTAAGCAAAGACAACTAGTAAGCCAAAGATCCGAGCCCAATAATATTTCTTTGCAATTTAGTAAACAACACAGATAATACATTATTGACTAATCAGGAATCTTCTAGTTGCTCTTTGGAATTGTGCTGATATTAAATGCAGTCCCAGGGCATGTACTTTTATTGAAACTTTCACTGTTTCTTTCCATCTGTATGTTCCTGTTATAATGGAGCAAAAATTACAGTGCAGCATTAAGTTTGCATCACTTCTACTTTCTAAAGCAGTATTTATTTCATAGGACAAAACGAATGTCATTCTCATGTTTTATTCTGCAAAAAGGCACAGTGGTAAAACATCTACCTTTACATTTGATGTTGCACATAGAAATGTGTATACTTTTATTTGTATTTATTTAAGGCTTTATATTTCTTTTGAGATAATTCTACCTGTTCTATACTCTCTTAGCAACAAGTTTACTTTGTCACCAAAGCATGCATGCATCACCTGCAGTCGGAATTAGCAGTGCTAATATGAGATTGTCATTTCCTAACCTTTCAGCTTGCCTGACTGTTGTTCACTGTAGAATTGTGGTTGTTGTAATAGAAGATGCTAGTCTTCTACATATACCGTGGGTGTACTGTTTACTCTGGATAATATCTGTTCCTATATCTATTTAAGACGTACATGATAATGTTTATTTACTTTGACTCAGAAAGATAAGAAAGATATCAATGCTGTTTAGTTCTAGAAGGAAAATTGTTGTAGGAGCAGCAAAATCTTGTGGCATTTAAAAACTTCTTGCTTCTTCAAATTCTTAAAATGCTTGGCTATTTCATCTCCATTAACTACATCCTCAAGATAGTTTTCATTTATAGTCTGTAGATTTTGTATGTCTTCTGGTTTTTACTTCCTATTCAGATGTCAGCTTAAAATCAGTAAACTCAATTGTACAAGGAAATTAGGAAGTGACAACAGGTTGCTCAATAACATTGAAAATAACAATATTTTTAAAAAGGAAATAGATTTAATCTATTGCAGCACATAGAGTTGTTCAAATGAGTTCCACTACATTCAAATAGCCATTTAAGCATTATGTCTGTGCCATAGTGCAAAGAAAGAATTAAATCCAAGAAGGCATATGAAATGCTTGTTTGATTTTTGTTCAACATGGTAGGAAAAATCTATACAATGCTGCTTAATTCACCCTGTTTCTTTTGTTTGGAAAATGTCTCATTTAATGGTGAGAATGTAAGGGAAGCTGATTTTTGGAAATTATATGATGTTGAATATCATCATTGGATGTTCGCAGTACAAAAAGGTTAACAAATGCTGCCATGCAGGGTTCTTATACATGCTGTATACTTATGTTTAAAAAAATGTTATGTACTGCTGCTTTTGTTGTGTTGAATTCCTTTTGCGGCACATGGATAGAATAATATATTTTTTTTAAAAAGCATTGCAGTGCTGCATTTAAATTTTCCCTCTTCTCTAACAATAGCTAGGATTTACGAACATTTATGAACATTCCTTCATTCAAAATTTTTACAGCAATAAAGATTATTAAAAGAGCATATTGGGGATAAGTGAAAAGTAATATAATTTAAGAGCGGAAAGTAGGTTTCGATCAGAAGACAAATACAATTCAGAATGCTTCAGTTCAATTCACTTCAGGTCATAGACTTTCAGACTATATATTTACTAGCTCTTATGCACATTAAGTATTGCTTCTGCATATTATATGTGCATTGATTTAAAGCAAGGGATTTATTATTTATAGCAGGGAAAAGTCTGATTAAACTGTTACATTATTTCTTAGTCGGTAGTTCACACTAGTTGCTTGAAATTACATTATTTATATGTTGTTTCATTCTTACCTCTTTGTTGAATTGTTTACATTTCAAACTATCAGTTTTCTCTAGGATTAGTATCCTAGCATTAATTATGAGAATATAGAAGCCAGTAGTGCAGGCATGTATTTGTTAAATTGTATTATGATTCAGTATGGTGATAAATCACAGTGACTCCCTTCACGTATTAGGCCAAACCAAATTAATTATGTCTTACGTGATATATATGAACTTGTCCATTAGGTGGGTTTACATATCATACTAATGCATAATGTGGTTTCTTAACATTTCAATTGTGCAAACCCTGACATTGTTATTTGGCACAATATAGGAGTTTAATCACTGTGGTTCAGCTGAAGGTGGGCCAAAGAACAAAATAACAATACTGTACTGTGCTTTATATTGTGGAGTGTCTGCTA